GGTTAAAGCGGTGATGATGGAGGTGGGGTTACTATGGGGAGGTAGAGTGCAGACATATTGAAATGGAATGGGGGTATAAAATAAGTACTTGGATATCAGTCTCATTTTTTTTTTTTAGCACCAGCTACAGCATCTCCTTCTGTCCTCCAAATCACTTCCTATAACCATCACATAAGTTTTTACAAGGATGAACACCCTGCATTCCATACCTTAGGGGTGACTCCAAACAGGGAGGAATTATGCAATAAGCAAGGTATGCATGGGCTTACTTACTAATCTGTAGTGCACAATTTCACCTGTTTTCACCACATAAGAGATATGATGAAACCCATGTGAAATTGTGTACTACAGATTAGTAAGCACAATTAAGCCCATGCATACCTTGCTTACCGTAAACTGGTGCGTATCCTGCTTACTGGTTAATCCACCCGACTCTGAACTTAATAAGTAACCCACTACAGACCCCCACTTTCTTCCATTGGTAGTCCCCGATTTATGACGTATTTGAGTTATGACAAACCACACTTACGACTGTCCTTTTTTTTTGTACATTTTATCGTTAGTAATACGTTGCAGTGGGTAAATTGCTGAGTTTATCATTCTCAGATGTTCACTCACAGATGTTCAATTTTATGATTTACTGTTCAAAATACTGCTGGATTTATAGAGATACTAATAATAAAAGGCAATAATAATGAAAACTTAAAAAACAAAATTAGGCATGTGACACTTATGTTAGAACCAATTTACAACGGAGGCGTCAGAACGGAGCCCCATCGTAAGTCAGAGACTAGCTGTATTTAGAAAGCAACGATGAACCAGGAATATGGAAATAAAAAATGCTTCTATTCCCTTACCTTTTCCAGTGCAGCCTGAACGATTGATTCACTTTCTGTATCGAGGGCAGATGTCGCCTCATCTAAGATCAGAATCTTGGGGTTTTGAACTAAAGCTCGAGCAATTGCGATTCTCTGTTTCTGCCCTCCACTCATTTGAGCTCCTTTCTCCCCAACCAAGGTATTAAATTTCTAATTAAAAAAAAAACAGGAGAAAGAAGGCAGCATGATCCAATGATTAGAACATGAACTACAAACAGTCACAGTCGTGTCTTACAGCATCTTCATCCCTACTTTAGCCTGCCTGTTCTGTTTTTTCACCTTACTTTGTTCTTTGTGAAAACAAACAACTGTGAGACAACAGCCTCATGAAGAGGGACTTACAAAAAATGTGGTTAGGACTAAAAGAAATTCGAACATTTGACAAGCAAGCATTTAAAAAAGATTAATAATAATTTGAACCAATTTTCAAAGCTTTTTAGACATTTTTAGAAGGCGCTGAGATCTTAAAAAAATAAAAACCACTGTAATACAAACACATAATTAACTATTATTTGAAATGCTTATTAGCAATTTAATAGATTACCCATAATTTCCTTTCTGGATACTTGGAAAAATATTATGAAAAATTACTGCAAGAATTCACCTCCCCCTAAAACTTTCTTCAATATTGGGAGACCTTCTTCTTCTTCTATTTTATTTTTTTTGTATATACATCTTAAACAAAGTAGATACTGCCAGATACTTAAAGTGAAAGTAACTTCTAGCACTAATGAAGCATGCTCAGTAATATTCTTTTGGGTTAAATCCCTGATTCAAAGTTCATTTCTTTAAGAATAAATTTTAAATGTTCTTTCTAAACCTTTAATTTCTAGAGACTAGCCTTCACATTAAGGGCCCTGGTGCTGTAATGGTTAAGAGGTTCAGTTGCTAACTGAAAAGCTGGTGGTTTGAACCCACC